GTTCCTGGAGGATACAAGACTCAGAGGCAAACCAACGAGGTACCCACCCCCCAGGAGTCTGCTCAACCAGCAGTCTGGGAGTGGGTGAGCAGGTGGTATCTTGGCTCTTACCTGGTACCTCTCAGCCAACCTGCCCCAAATCCAACCATATGCCACCTTCCGTCCTTCCCTCGGGGACCACACCTCCCATCCCTGATGTCTCAGGCAACCCAGGCAGCTCCAGGCCCAACTGCTGGGGTCCAAGACCCACTTTACCAAAGGAAAGAAAGGTCACCAGAGGCGGAAATTCAGAACCTCATCAGGTGCAACGAGGTTCCCACAGAAGGTGCGGTTTTATAACTATGTCCACTTATATACATATATATATATGCACACACACTCTCTCTCTCCATATATATATGTATATATACATATATATACATGCACAGGCTCTTTCTGCCCAACCCCCAAGTCCATTACCATACTGTTTGTCTACTATGTTTATAAATTCTATGGAAAACTCTATCTGCTGAACTAAGGATTGTACTGGTGATTTCTAGCAAGAAAAAAGAAAACAAAAACAAAAAAAGAAAGAAAAGTCAAACATTGTAGAATCTGTGTCTAGAATCTTGGCAACACTAGTCCCCAGGCGCCCTTGGCTTGCCAGGTGCCCGTGGGGAGGGCTATGGAGAAGGGGAGCCCACAGCGATCAGATCAGGGGACCAATATTCTTAGCTACTTAGAGCCTCACCTGGTTTTTATATGCAACACAGGCCTGTGGCCTTGGCACGCACCTCCGCCCCTCCCCCGCCCCCCCCCTTGCTGCTGGTGTCCGGACCAGAAGCAGCGAGCAACTGGCTAGGGGTAGGAATGTTAGTCCCAGGCGGGGCGGGGCCGGGAGGGAAGAGGGCGGGGCTTTGGGTGTGTTAAGCCGGCAGGCGAGGCAGCATTCCAGTGTTAGTCCAGCGGGTTGGACAGTAGGGTCCTTAGCTTAGCCCTGCGCCTGCGAAGCCCCTAGTTCTGGGAGCGTGGGGCATGAGCCAGGTTTCTGGGACAGTTCAGCTGCTGGGTTTTTCCTGGAGGCTCTTTGATGGGCATCCCAGCGAGGGCCCTGTGCAGGGTGGCAGGAGGGAGAGCATCAGGTGGCCTTGGCAGAAGAGGCCCTATAAGGGCACTTCAGGAACCACCTCAGGCACTTCTGCAACATGGGGACCTAGTCCACTGGGCCTTGGGACATGAGTGGGGAAGGCCAGAGCAATGGCTCAGGAGTGGTGGGAGGGATAGAGCCGGCCAGCGGGCTCCGGTCAGTTGGCCCTGCCTCTGGCCAGGCACCCCAGTGGGCAGAGTCTCCTTCGCACTTTGCACAAACCCCAGTTCCCCACCAGAGAGGATTTGTGTGAGGAACCAGAAATGCCGAATCCAATTAAGAGAGAAAAATAATAATAATAAAAAGCGATTCTCTTGGACACCAACAGTGTTTTTCATTTCTTAACCCCGCATTCCTGACAGGGTGGCAGATCCTGGGTGTTCAGGGGAGTGGGCGGGCCTGGCTGGGCACAGCTTTGAGAACACAGCACGTTGCTTGGCGGGAGGAGCCGTGTGGGGCAGGGGCGCGCTGACTCACAGAGACACGCACACACATGCCACTTGTTCCCTGTTCCAAAGCGCTCCATCGAGTGCAGGAACGTGGTGCCCACCCCCCCACCTCTCACCCACCCTACCCCCCCTCGCCCACCCTATCCCCCACCCCCTGTGCTGGGTCAGTGCCATCCCCTCCAAGCCTCCCCCCAGAGCAGGCTGGCTCAGGATTGTTCCCAGCCGTTCCCAGGAGGCTGGGCAGTGGCTGGAAGGGAGCAGACAGCTCCTGGGACCCCAGGGACTTCAGGAGGCCCCAGCAGCAGTGGGTGGGTTATCTGCCCTCCGGGTTCTGGAAAAGAAGGCTCAGAGGTCAGAAGGCTGTGCCTTCCAGAGAGTGAACCCTTCTTGCTGCCTCCCCCCTCCCCCCACCACAAAGCTCATTGTCCTGGGGTCAGTGTCAACTCACAGCCACCCTGATGGATAAGAACTGCCTTTCTGAGACGGTAAACTCCGCACGGGAGTAGAGAACCTCATCGTTCTCCTGCAGCTGATGGTTTTGAACCACTGAACTTGTGGCCGGCAGGCCAATGCATAACCTGGTGCAACAGCGGGGCTCTTCCTCCTTGCTGCAGGGCTCGAAACCTAACAAATTATCTTCAGCCTGTCCTGGCTCTGACCCCCACCTGCTCTGACCCGGACCGGCCGGGTGGGGCCTGGCTGTCCCTCAGAACCTGTGAAGGCTGTTAGGCTGCTGATTTCATTTCCAGCTTTGACAGCAAGCCCTCGATGGGAAAAATCAAGAGTATAAGCACTGTATTAAAATTTGTTTTTTTCCAAAAAACAAAAACACTAAGAGAGACACTTAGTCCCATAATCTGGAAGTGAAATGTCAGTATAAGAAATGCTAATGTTTTATAAATGATCCGCTTCTGTCAGGGACAACGGAGTCTCTGTCTCCGGCAGCGGCCGGCCGGCGGCTCTCAGGCAAGGCGGCAGGGCCCAGGACGCCAGGGGTATTTTTAGTAGCTCTCTGCTCCAAGGGGTAGAGGGAGTAAAGGCAGCTCTCCTGTGGATGACATCACTGTCTCTCAGCCGCTCACCTGCTACCCAGCACCTACCCAGCACGGTGACACCATCGCTCAAGGCCTAGGAACATGACAGTTGGTCAGAGGCTGAGCACAGCAGGGGCCTTGCTCTGCGAGCTTCTGTCCTGGGTCGCTCAGAACAGCTGATTCCCTACCTCTGGGAATCCCACGCTCCCAGGTGCTCTCTGGTCCTGCTGCAGTGGGCTCAGCACTCTCCCTGGGCCCCCAGGAGGGCACTGGCTGTCTCCTCACTCCCCTCTGCCAGGCAGCACTCCCCTTGGGGCTGAGAGGCGGACAGAGTCATGGTGGATGAGGGTGCCACGGGAGGATGAGGGTGGCAAGGAGGAGGCCTTATGGGTGGGCAAACTTATTCTGTCCTAGAAGTAGTGGGGAGGTGGGGTTCCCTCCACTCGGGGGCCCCCTTCCGGCCCCACAGCCCCAGCTGCAGGCCCACAGGGGCACATGGCCCCACCCGTAGCACCCCTTGCCAACGTTCCTCAGCAGCGGGCTTCTTCATTGCAATTTGCCTCTCTGCTCAGCCGGATCCCTCTCTCTTGCCAGCAGACCGAGTGTGCTCCCTGGAAACCCGCCTGGGCCAGCAGCCATTCCCAGACACCTGCTGCTTCCAGGACCATTTGTCTCCAGGCCCCCACCCCCTCCAGTCTGGAGTCCACAAAGAGCACTCCCCTCTGCTCTCTCCTGGCTTCAAAGAGTACCTGCCTAGGAAAGGTCAACTGCCACCTCTCCATGAGCCACCCAACCCAACCTCTCCAACTGGCAGCCAGCCAGGCATATCCCCCACCCCCACCCCTAGCTGCAACTCCCCCCCTCCTGCTGGGGCTGCTCTTCACCAGAGAGCCAAGAATCCCATTAGCTGGTGTTTACTCATCACTTAGCTCCTCCCCCAGCACTGCCACAGGGTGGGGGCATTCGCCACCCCCAGGAAGGGCTGTCAGTGGGTTTAGGGAGCCAGCCAGGAGCCAGAGAGGCTTCCTGGAGGACCAGCCACATACATACATACTGGGCGCAAGAGAATGAGTCTTCTGGAACCAGCATGTGCCCACCCGTCCCTGATTATACACTGCCACCAGGCCCTCCTCAACGCTGACCCAGGGGAACCACCCTCGGGTTAAACAAGGCCAAGTGTGTATAGTGACAAGATCGCAGACACCCCCCCTCCCAAAAAAAAAAAAGAAAAAAGAAAATCAACCCAGCTGCCAGACCAGCGACTGATTGATGGTGACCCCTTACAGAACAGAATTGCACTCTGGGGAGTGGACCTTCTGGAAACATCTCTGAGGCTTTTTCCTGAGGTGCCTGAGAGTAGGTTTGAACTGCTAACCTTTCCATTCGTAGCTTAAGCATTTGCACCACCCAGGGGGCTCTCATGGGATCCCATCCATGGGCCCTGTTTCTAAGCCTCCAGACGTGGCGCATCTCCCCATCATGGGCTCTCTGTCTTCACCTTCCACAAAGCAGGAACTTAGCTCATCCCCGGCCACCGGCCCAGCCCCTACCCCCTGCCCCCCACCAGCTTGTAATGGGCCAATTTTCTTTTTACCTTCTGTTTGCTTGGAAAAGATCTCAAGATCTCATTGCATTAAAATATCCTTTACACGTCTACACTTGATACCTAGTTCTGTTCCTCTAATTGTCTCTTTTAACTCATGGTGAGCTTTCAGCGTAAACCACCCAGGTGCCTGCCCCCACCTTTCAGGCTGTTAATAAATACAAGCTCTAGAAAAATGTACATAAACATCTCCTGTTGGCTAAATACCTGACAGAACCATCAAAAAGCCAGGGGGGGGGGGGAGGCTTTTTCGTAGGATGAGCCACCACCTGTGCTGCCCAGCCCAGCCCTTTGAAGGGGCCTGCTAGATCCAGGGTAGTGTCTGCCCCCCACGGGCCAGTGGGTGGAGGGCCCAGCCCGGCCAAGGCTGCAAAGAGGTGAGAGGGCAAGAGGACGATGACCTCATAGGACTCCATTCAAGAGCAAGATGTTGGGAGAGGGAGGAACAAGGGCGAGGACACAGGAGACGTTGGCTTTGTCCCGGAAAAGCTAGCACACAAAAAGCAAACCACCTGCCACCAGGCTGATTGCGATCGCGGCCACCGCCTGTGTGCAGGGTGGAGCTGCCCTCCACGGA